GAAACTGTGTGAAGGTCTCACTACTATAGCTATTATTTTAAAGCTCTTACTATAATATAAATATTATGATATTACAGCTATAACTTAATTGCCCAGTGATGTGATTATGGTTGAGTATGACATATGAGCACAATGGGAGTGGGAATAGCCATTACAAATGATTGCTTTAAGATTAAATACATAGAAATAAAATAAAAAAGGGGAAAAATAGAATAAAAAAATTGCTAAAATTATGTTGAAAAATTAGGTGGTTTTAAGTATAGCTAGATATGCTTAGAGGAAGCAATTAAGAGGCAGTTTTTTTGTAAAGTTAGTTAAATAGATTTACAATAGAAAATTCCACATTTTAAATTAGTTAAATAAGTAAGCTTAGCCTGACCAGGGTAGCAAAATCAAAGAATTTGGGTTGTTCTTCCACTCTACAAAAGGTATGGCCTACATCCTCTAAACACCATAAGGAACCAGACTATGTCTTCAGATTTAACTATTTTAGAAAGAGCAGCAATGGCTGACTCTCTCCCATGATAAATTTAGCCTATAGTCAAACTGTGAAATGACTTCTAGAGACAATGTAGGGTAGTTCAAAGACCTGCATACTCAGGTAACAATTTTACCGGACAGAGCATTTTTCTCATTTCTTTTGCTATTTGTGCAGATATTTTACTGATTTAAAAAGCCCAAAGCCTCTCTATTACTGCTTACCTCCATTGATGACAACTGTGTGTGTGTGTTTTGTGTATGTATGTTTATAGTAGTATATATGTATATGAATGGGAACTACTGCTAGTTTATATCATATATATATATATATATATATATGCTCTGAAAGTTATGTATAGTTAGAGATAGATAGATAGATAGATAGATAGATAGATAGATAGATAGATAGATAGATAGATAATAGGTGGGTAGGTGTAAGTATGTAGGGAGGTAGATAAATCTGAAAGTTACACGATTCTTACTCCTAAATGAGAGGGAAAACAAAGTTTTACACCAATTATAGTATGGGGATTAAGCACTTAACTCTTGGAGGCAGACAGATTTTGGGTCGAATAACAGGTTCCACCACCTATTAACTGAGTGATACTGTGAAAGTAATATAAATGTTTCTGTTTTCTCATCTGAGCAGTGAAAATGAAAGTAGTACTTCCTGTGAGGTTATTATTGGAATGAATGAAATAAGTAAAAGTATGCAAATATAGCACATTACCCTGCAAATGGTAAACTTGCAAAACTATTCTTTTTAAAAAGATTGACACTGACTTTTCTAATTCTATAACTGGCTTACTGTTTAATATGATCAATTTATTTAATCTCCTTGATTAAGTAAAACTTCAGTTTCCTCACCTGTAAAATGGTGATACCA